AGCTACGATGAGATATCGGGGGGGTCGGACCTGCTCCCCCGGGCGCTGCTGTCCCTGCTGGACGGGCCCCTGCTCCTCCACTCCCGGGTCAGAGAAATCGACCAATCGGGGCGCGGCGTGACGGTGCGGTTCGACCGCGGCTCCTCGCCGGACAGCCTGGAGGCGGACGCCGTGCTGGTGACCACCACGGCCCGCGCCGCCCGCTTCATCCGCTTCCGGCCGCCGCTGTCGGAGCGGAAACGCGCCGCCGTGCGCGCCGTGCACTACGAGAGCTCCACCAAGGTCGTGCTGACCTTCAGCCGGCGGTTCTGGGAGGACGACGGCATCCGCGGCGGGAAGAGCGTCACGGACGGGCCGTCCCGCTACATCTACTACCCCAGCCACGGTTTCCCCGGCAACGGCGGCAACGGCAGCGGCGGCGTGCTGCTGGCGTCCTACACCTGGGCGGACGACTCGATGCTCCTGCTGGGCGCCGGCGACGAGGACCTGAAGGAGCTGGTGCTGCGGGACCTGGTCCGGATCCACGGGGAGCGGGTGCGGTCTCTGTGCACCGGCGTGCTGGTGAAGCGCTGGAGCGCCGACCCCTTCAGCCTGGGCGCCTTCGCCCTGTTCGCCCCCTACCAGAACCTGGAGTACTCCCGCGAGCTGTTCCGGCCCGAGGGCCGCCTGCACTTCGCCGGGGAGCACACCGCCTTCCCCCACGCCTGGATCGAGACCGCCATGAAGTCCGCCATCAGGGCCGCCGCCAACATCAACAGCCAGGCCCGGCGGGGGGAGGGGGGGGTGAACAGGGACAAGCTCTGAGATCCAAGTTCCCATGAGATCCATGAGATTCCCATGAGATCCAAGATCCCATGCCTCTAACCAGCATCCATCAGGTTCTAGACTCCGGACTCTGGACTCTTAGCATCCATCAGGTTCTGGACTCCGGACTCTGGACTCTTAGCATCCATCAGGTTCTGGACTCCAGACTCTGGACTCTTAGCATCCATCAGGTTCTGGACTCCGGACTCTGGACTCTTAGCATCC